CACACACACACACACACACACACACACACACACACACACACACGACTTCAAAATTACAATGATATAAATGGAAAACAATCATTAGGAAAACATTAGGAATTTATACAGGGAAATATGCTTACAGTATCTTACATGAGAAATGCTTTGCAGTTTATAGTCTTTTAAGTGCATTATTTTTATTAATTCATCCATCATGAGCAGATGAAATTATCTCTATTTAAAAAAAATTTTTTTTAACATTTATTTATTTTTGAGAGACAGAGAGAGGCAGAGTATGAGTAATGGAGGGGTAGAGAGAGAGGGAGACACAGAATTCGAAGCAGGCTGCAGGCTCCGAGCTGGCAGCACAGAGCCCGATGCCAGGACTGAACTCACAAACCGCGAGATCATGACCTGAGCTGAAGTCAGACGCTCCACCGACTGAACCACCCAGGCGCCCCGAAATTATCTCTATTTTAAAGATGAGAAAGCCAAGGTTAAGAAAGTTAGCTTGAGACAGTTAGCTCGAGGTCAAGTTAGACATTTCACTAAGTGGCAAAGCCAGGACTTAAATTAGGACTACCTGTTCCTAGTTCAGGGTCTCTAAAACCCCAACTAGGATTGGCCAAATTTAGAAATCAAACAAAGTATGTAAAAAGGCTATGCAAGACTAAAAAGAACAAGAAGGATTTTATTATGAAGATCATTAATCATTTGCTAATGCACCAGTGAAATACCTATGCCAAGCCCCTAATCTGAGCAATTAAATCTCTCTAGGCCAGTCATCAAGACTTTCAAAAGAGGTCCACAGAATTCTAACATGCACCAGGGTTGAAAATTTCAGATCTCCATTAGATGATACAAATGGCAACAGTGCATTACAAACACGTTTTTCAATTATTTTTATTTTTACATTTTCCTATGAATTAATCATCAGTTCTTAATTAGACATAGTGACAGAATTTAATAAAACCCAAAGTGCTGACCTTAAAGACCTCAGTATTAGCTATAAGAAAGGTGTATAACTCTACATTAAGAGTAATCACACAAAAATGTTTTTAAAAAAATCTGTTCTAGTTGATACTTAAGAGTATTCAGTTAAAATGTACAGCCTTCAGTTTGTGCTATTAAGAACACTTAAAAATCATTATATTCATCTGAAGGAAAAAAAAATCCAACAACTTTTTGTACAATACTACATCTAAGTTGCATTCATGTTGGAATCAGAATCTTTACTGTACTAAACATAATAATTAAAAATAACAGGTGTACTGAAGGGACAAATTTGATGGCAATTTGTACCGAAAATCATTTTAAAAACACTGGATACTGAACCAATCTTACCTTTTGTAGACTTGTTGGATTCAACTGAGTTTTGTCAATTATTTTTATTGCAACCTAGAAAAAAATAAATAAATATTACAGGTTTTAAGAATTTTGTAATTATAAACTAACTGGTAATAGTTTTATAAATGCCCAATCATGTGGGCATTTACCTAAAAAACTAAAACTCAACTAGTTATAATAATATTTTATACTTTATAAATATTTTTTAATTGAAAAGAGGGGCTTCATGCAAATACGAGTATTGTTAGAACATTTATATTTAAGTTACTTATAGACATGGGGAGAAACATCTCCCACAAGGTAGAGACAGAGAAAGAAAGAGAGATTATACAATGAAAACACTTCTAAAAATAGAGGACAATGAAGCAACTCTCCCATTCCCTATTTAACAATACTTAATTTTTTTTTTAATTCCCCGGGGTGGGGGTGGGGGTGGTTGCACCGTTCCTGGAGGTACTGCAATACCAGGGGGATGTGTGGAGTGGATGGAGCAAGCTCCTATTTCACCTCCTAGTTCCAAAAACCCATTTAATATATTGTCCTCCGATAGAGGACATATCAGATATTAAACTGATAAGAAACAGATACTACACTTGGTCTTGGCCAAAAGGCTGAGAAGCAACCCAGTATTTTAATTTCATCTGACTCTGACAAAACTGATCTGATCCAAGGGCAGGAAGTACAGCTTTTACAGATTTATACAGCCCAGAATGCCTTGCTCAGAGTGTCTTACACACAGTAAGAGCTTGATAATTGAGTAAATATACGAACCAACAGGTTGGATTCAATCTGAAAACTTCAAAAACATTAAAAGAAAAAAAAAGAAAGAAAGAAAAGCCCTTTAGGTAGTTAAAGAAGGAAAAGGGACTAGTTCCAGAACAATCTGTAGGCTAACCAAGTGAAACATGTACAGCGGCAAAAAATGGGTCACCCAGGAGCCTTTGTTCAGAAAGGGGTGAGTAAACCCCAAGCAGTCTAAAAAACAAGCCACTAAGATACAGGAAGAAAGAACTATAGCTTCTAGTTATATGTGTTTATCAATTAAAAAAAATCAGTTTTACTAATATTTACTAAATGGACCTACAGCAGCATCCTTATCTGGTAGGCTGTCACTACCAGAATAAAAGGATTTCTAGGAACTACACATATCCAGAATGAGGGGAGAGGGTGACAGTAGGGGATGGAAGGGAATATAAGTGAAGAGAGAAACTTTGCCATGAACTGAGGAACATAATTAACTCAGCTTTGCATCTGAGGTCCAGAAAAACAATGACCTCACCCCACATTGATGATGCTGTTCCTACTGTGCATCCTTCAGGACACAGATCCAGTAAGAAGCACCAATGAAGAAAGGGACTATAGTCAAAGTCTGGGGAAAGCGCTTGAAGATTCTCTATGTCAACGGTGCTCCAACTTTTTGTCGCCCTTTACACCCTTAAAGATTACTGATGATCCCAAATGTGGATTATATCTATCAATATTTACCTTATTACAAATGAAAACTGAGAAATGTAAAAATAAGTATTGAACATAGTAACATTCATTTCAACTAATAAGATTCAACAAATGGTGCTGGGAAAACTGGATATCCAAGAAGTTGGACTCTTACCCTAACATCATCTACAAAAATTACTGCAGAGTGGATCAAATATCTAAATGTAAGATTTAAAACTATCAAACTCTTGGGACACCCAGTCAGCTCAGTCAGTAGTAGAGCATGCAACTCTTGACCTCAGGGTTGTGAGTTCGAGCTCCACGCTGGGTGTGGAGCATACTTTAAAAAAAAAAAAAAAAAAAAAAAAAAAAAAAAAGTAAAGAAAACAGCAAAAAACTATCAAACTCTTAGAAGAAAACATACAACAAAAGCTTCACAACACCTGACTGAGCAATGGTTTCTTGGATGACACAAAAGGCACAGGCAACAAAAGAAAAAACCCAGCCAAATCAGACTATAAAATTTTTAAATTTTGTGCATCAAAAGACAGTATCAACAGAGTATAAAAAGGCAACACAGAGAATGCTAGAAAATATGTGCAAATCAAAGATGTGATATGGGATTAATATCCAGAACATATAGAGAACTCCTAAAGCTCAACAACAAAAACCCAATTTAAAAATGGGTGAAAGCCTTAAAGAGACATTTATTCAAAGAAGATATACAGTGGGTATCTCAAACAATGCAAGGTTTCAGGGTACCACCCCTCTCCAGCACAAATATCGATGATAGCTTTTGACTCCCCCAAAACTTAAGTACTAAAAGCCTACTGTTGAGCTGAAACCTTACCAATAACAGTCGATTAATACATATTTTGTACGTTATGTGTATTCTTAAACTAAGCTAGAGAAAAGAAAATCTCATTAAGAAAATGATACAGAAGATAAAATATATTCATAGTACTGTACTACTGCATTTATTGAGAAAAAATCTATGTATAAGTAGACCTGCACAGTTCAAGCCGTGTGGTTCAAGGGTCAACTGTACAAATGGCCAGTAAGCACATAAAAAAGATACTTAACATCACTGATCATTAGGGAAATGCAAATCACAACTACGAGATGCTACTTCACACCGATCAAGATGGCTACTATAAAAACAAACAAACAAACAAACCTGTAAGAAAACAACAAGTTGTAAGGATGTTGGGAAATTGGAACCCTGTGCACTGTTGGTAGGAATGTAAAATGGTACAGCTATGGAAAGCAGTATAGAGTGCCTCAAAAACATTAAAAATAGAATTACCATATAATAGAGCAATTCCATTTCTGGGTATGTACCCAGAAAGCAGGGACTTAAATAGATTCTTGTACAGCTGTGTTCATAGCAGCATTATTCACAATAGCTAAGACATGGAAGACACCCTAGCATCCACTAAGTGATGAATGGGTAAGTCTAATGTGGTGTCTCATACAGTAGAGTATTATTCAGTCTTAAAAAGGGAAGAAATTTTGAAACATGCTACAGCATGAATGAACCTTGAGGACACTATGCTAAATGAAGTAAGCCAGACACAAAAGGACAAATACTATATGATTCCACTTTATGAGGTTCGTAGAAAGTTCACATTCATAGACACATAAAATAGAATGGGGAATGCCAGGAGATGAGGAAAGGAAAGAATGGGGAGTTAGTGTTTAATGGGTATAAAGTTTCAGCTTTACAAGATGAAAAAAGGTCTGGAGATATATGAAGGTGATGGCGGCACATTATAAATGTATTCAAAACTACTGAAACCTACACTTAAAACCAGTTAAAATGGTAAATATTATGTTACGTGTATTTTATCACAATTAAAAAAACTGGGAAAAAAAGCCCATTATATGTTAATATAAATAACATCAGTTTGAAATTTTCATATATCCTTCTGTATTCAATCTGTTGTAATACCACACATCATAGAGCCTCTGAAAAATTTTACTTTACATTCATGAGAAAGAGTGGGAAAAGTAATATCTTAATAGTATTACAAAAATAGCTTAGACTTTGCAGACCCCCTAAAATGTTCTCGGAGAAATCTCCAGAAATCTCTTCATATTAACACTTAAAAAAAAAAAAAAAAAACCCAAAAAAAACCAAAACTACCCTGCTTCAATTGGTCTAAAGTCTCCATCGCCTAAGTTATTTGATCACTACCTGTGAACCCATTAATCTCCAGAGGGGCTAGAGAAACACTGCTAACAAGGCATGTCTGACCCTGGAGTGGAAGGACCCACCACCTCATCCCATCCTCACCTGGGGAGGTTAAAAAAAAAAAAAAAAAATCAGAATTGGAGAAGCAGAGAGTTATAGCATGTTATGTGCTTGAAAAAAGCAAAGACAGAATTCTAATTCTGTATTCGGAAAATCGAGGTCTTGATGGAAACTACAGTAAATAAAGCGAAAGGAAATACTGGTGGCTGGAATATACAAACAATGACCACCCTGTTCATATCTCACTTGGTGACTGCCTTACTATTATAACCCTAGCACACTACCAGGGACATAAACAGCATTTAATAAATGCCTCCTGCATTGATGTGAGGCCCTGAACCTCCATAATCAGTGAGCACACACATTAGAGATAGAGACAGAGGAGTGAAGAAATAGGATTTCTGGTGTTTTAACAGATATCAGTGTGATTTTTAAAATTACATTGTTTTTTTTTGGTTAATATTTATTTTTGAGAGAGAAAGAAGAGTGAGGCAGAGTGCAGGAGGGAGAGGGGCAGAGAGAGAGGGAGACACAGAATCCGAAGCAGGCTCCAGGCTCCCAGCTGTCAGCACAGAGCCTGACGCAGGGCTTGAACACACAAACCACGAGATCAAGACCTGAGCCAAAGTCAGACACAACTGACTGAGCCACCCAGGCGCCCCATAAAAATTACATTATTTTAAAGTTTAATGAATAAATTTTATTCAAATTTTACTTTCATAAGTAATCTTGTGTGGCATCTATAGATCTCCCAATTTCCAAAGAAATCATACTATTCTTTTCTGGCCACCATTCTGTTTTCCTCCCCCTTCTCATGGCCAGATCTAGTACATACGCTGCCTTTCTGGTTCTTCTTCCCTCTGATCTTCTGAGACCTGGTTTCTATTCTCACGACCAGACTCTTGATCACTAGCCACTCTTGGCTCTGTTCAGTATGTCTTTTACTCTAAAGATTCTATTAAGCATTTTCTTTTTCAAATACTGCTATTCAAATAGTATTTAAAGCAAAAACAGGAGCAAAAATATGTCTCATTCAGCTAAATCAAACTGTAGAAGAGAGTCATTTTATTAAAAGTAAGTGTCCTAGAGTGAAACACTGTCATTTAACATGATGGTGTATGTGTGGCAATGAAGCCTGAGGGGGAAGTTCCTAATCCCCTCTTCCTTTCCAGCTCCTTGCTGGGATGACTCAACTACCAAAATAACCTTGGCCCAGAGCTGGAGCCTGCAGGAGAGTTCTGACCTTGAGGTCAATAAAAAAAAGGCAATTGTGGGGGCATCACCAGGTGCCTGAGAAAGATAGAGACTGTAGAGAAGACCACACACACACACACACACACACACACACACACACACACACACC